AGAAAGAATAAAGATTAGTTAAAGAAGATAAAAATACAATACGCGTATCTCCTTTGAATACATTTGTGAGATATAATCGACGTGATGTTACGGAAGAGGTCGTTACCACGAAAGAGCGTGCGAAATGAGAACGTTGCAAACTGCAAATCGAGTGATCGAACAAGCTCACGAGCGTGATGGATCCGATTAGTCACGGATCGTCTCTCTTTCGAGCTCTAACTTACTTACCTCGCAAGAGTTAAACCATGCCAGTACGATAACTTGATCAGTTTCGAATACAGATCTTCGTTATCTCCTTAACACCTCTAACTTTCACATTTCACGAACTACGTTGCGTGTTCTATCCGATATACCAAAACTATCATTGCAATTACATAGTTGCAACGATTCGACGATACTCCGAAATCGATAGAAATGTTTTCTGTTGTTCGCAGACTCACGATCAAAGCTGGATGCCCGATGAACCTTGAAGATTTTCCCATGGATACGCAAAGATGTCCCTTGAAATTTGGTAGTTGTAAGTTCAAATTCTGTTACGATGTTAAACTGTCGATTGTTATCGACTTAACGCTTTAACTCTATTCTCCTCTCTTAAAAATTTAGCATCGCGAACTCGTTATTCTTCGTAACCGATTAAGAATTTAATTAATTACATTTATTTATTAAATTTATTTATTTTATATACAATGCATCTCGCGTGCGAGTGCTCGCAATATCGTCTTTTTTTTGCGAAAAACTAATGAGAGGGAGGATGAAAGGAGAAAGGAAAGAAAAAAAGAGAGAACGAAAGAGAGCTTACTTCTCTGGTAGACTCGTTTATAATCTCCTCGTAAGAAGATCCCGATACTAGGTTTTCTCGAGTAAGGTAAGAAGAGCCAGATTTATTCGTCTCCGGAGCAGCTCTAAAAGAAAAAAGAGAAGATCTAAATCAAAATTCGAATCCTTCCACGAGAAGGAAAGTGATCGATCAATCTCGTATACTCTCATTTTTCTAACATCGAATTTTTCTCTTTCTGTTCAACATTTCTCTCCCTCTCTTTCTCTCTCTCTCTCTCTTTCTCTTTCTCTCTTTCTCTCTCTCTCTCTCTTTCTCTCTTTCTCTCTCTCTCTCTCTCTCTCTCTCTCTTTAGTTGGATACACGACTCGCGACGTCATCTACAAATGGAACAGCGCGAGACAAGTCGCCATAGCAGAGGACATGAAGCTTTCCCAATTCGATTTAGTCGCAAATCCTACTGCGAATCACTCTACGACCCCACCCTTGTCTCATGGTGAGTAGAAAATCCGATCGACGTGATCGAATCTACCTACGTGTATTTGAATGATTAGGAAACTCGAGGAAAGTCCTTTGTAGAAAGTAAACTTGCGAGAGAAATTCATCGATGTTACTTTCTTCTTCCCTTCTTATCCTTCTTTCTTATTAAGAACTCCAAGACGGAAATACTTGATGAAAACAGCTTCGATTAATACGCTAGACAAGTGAGAGAGGCAGAGGGAAAAAGAGCAAAGAGGAGACACATGAACTTTTCTTCCGTAACATTCCCTTTTCTTCTCTAATATCCGGGACATGTAAAGACTCTATCTAGAACTTTTCTTCTTCTTGAATTTCTAGTAAGCAAGCAGATGACGATGAAGATAATTGAGTAATCTCCCTTTCACTTCTTCTTTCTCTCTTTCTCTCTCTCTCCTCTCTCTCTCTCTCTTTCTCTCTCTCTCCTCTCTCTCTCTCTCTCTTTCTCTCTCTCTCCTCTCTCTCTCTCTCTTTCTCTCTCTCTCCTCTCTCTCTCTCTCTCTTTCTCTCTCTCTTCCTCCTCTCATTTTCTTTCTTTCTCCTACTTCATTAGAGAGCGTCATTCGTTTTACATTCTCTACGAGATTCACGCGTCGATCGAAATATCAACATTGATTTTCTTCCTCGTAGCTTCAATTTTTATTTATTTTTCCACTACCAAACTCTCGTTGTATCTCTTGTCAAGAGCATGATTATCGAAAATAGTTGTTTGATATTTCATTGATAATTAATATAATTTAATTAATTAAACGTTTCCAATTAATCCAAAATTGATTGAATACATTAATTATATGTACATATCTATGTCCGTGATATAATAGACGGCTAGATAAGAATTATAACCATTTTCGTCAAAGAGATTCATCGAGAAGATATACGAACTATGTATGCGAGATATGTACTTTGTAAACAAACTCGTCATACCGAGAATCGCACAATGCGATATCTTCGTTGTTCACATTTCCCTCGAAATGATGGTTCGATGTATGGTGTATTGTGTCGTAATATCGTCGGCAACTTGCCAATGTAAAATCGGACACGAAATATTAGAACGTATTTAATGATTTGTGTTTGATTTTAGCGGAATACTCGATGCTTTTGGTATATTTCCACCTGCAGAGACACATGGGTAACTTTTTAATACAAGTTTATGGTCCTTGCATTCTTCTGGTAGTACTCTCTTGGGTCTCCTTTTGGTTGAACAGAGAAGCTACCGCCGATCGAGTGTCCCTTGGTACGATATCATTCTTAGTAAGATCTTCAATTCTCCAAACGCGATTGTCGAACAAAGAAATTTTTTCTCTCCACAGGTATCACGACTGTGCTGACTATGACCTTTTTAGGATTGGAAGCTAGAACAGATTTACCAAAAGTACCCTATCCCACTGCCTTGGATTTTTTCGTCTTTCTTTCTTTCGCCTTCATCTTTGCCACGATCATTCAATTCGCTATAGTACACTATTTCACTAAATATGGATCAGGCGAGTGTTATTTCAGTTCTGATCTAAGCGACACCGAAAGCAGTTCCAGCGAAAACGAGGAAATCTCGCGATCACCGTCCAAGCGCGAAACGGTACGTCGTGTTTTTTTCCATTTATATTAACGAAATAAAAAGGTAATTTATCCTTGTGGTATAATAATAACATTTTTATATGCTTAAGTTTAATGAAAATTAACATTAATAAATATAATTCATCACGATCGCATGTAATGTCCATATAAAAGATTCGTATGAGCGATGTATTACTTATCGATTTGAAACATAAAAATATCTCTTTATCTCTTGGGAGACAACATAATCCACAAAAATGTTTCGAGTAGATTCTAAAAGTATAGAGAGAATAAAGGAAAAAAAAAAAAGAAAAAGAAAAAGGAAAAAAGAAAATAACTGGACGGATTTTATGAAAATCTCGAGGCATCCGTTCCCATTATTTGGCAAAGTTTCACGTTGATATATCGGAGCCAGTCCAATCTCAATTTCACTCGTAAAAGCTGCGATTGAAATCGTTCTTTAGCTAAAACCGTGAAACGCTTCGGACAATAGCAATGAATATCGAGCCGTTAATGAGGATGAATATTTTCTAAGATAAACAAAAAATCAATTCGAATCGAAAAAAATTATAAAAAAAGAACTAATTGATCACGAATTGTTGCGATCGTTTATTTTAGAGTCGCCGAAAGAATTCTGGTAATTCGATTCCCGGAAGTAGTCAAAATTTCACGGTGAACGATGATGGTTTCATCGAGGTGATACCCTTGTCTGCAATTCCTGATCGGGAACGAACTATCGCTCATTGGCAATTACCCTGCATTTCTTGTTCTCCATCAGTGAGCCATCCTCATCGAGAGAGTTTTCATCAAACAGTTTCAATTCCGATGCCAATACCACAGCCTCAGCCTCAACCTCAGACTCAGCCTGAGCCTCAACCTCAGCCAATATCTCAGTCTCAATCACAGGCACAGTCACAGCTTAGGAAATCTCCCTCACCCCAAAGAGTCGATTCTCCGAACAAAAGAATTGCGCCGAGAAAAAGACGAAGACGGACACCGAAATATAACTCTGTTTCAAAGATCGATCGTGCCAGTCGCGTTGTTTTTCCTCTCTTTTTTCTCGCGATAAATGTCTTCTATTGGTACGCTTATCTTTCTAGAAGCGAGCGTATCAATTATTATAATTCGAATCCCAACGGTGCGTGATAAGATAAGAAGGAGCCTACACTCGCTCCAATTTTCAATTGCTATCGATCTTGCAAAAGATATATAAGAGAAAATCGAATAGTAGAATCTCTTGGAAAAACGATAATGTTTTAGAATCAAATGCTTTACCGAAAAATGTTCCTCTTACAAATATTTATATGTAAATACGAATAACCCGTAAATATGAATTTATAAATCCTAGTTGTACGTTCTCCTTCTTTTGTTTAAAGCGAAAATTAATCGGAATACCTGAGCTTTCTGACCTCAATATGGTTTAATCGTTGTCTCAAGTATTCTTTTTAGAAATAAGTGGTTGTATATACATATGTTTTTTCAAACTTGACCTCAAACGTAAGAGCCATTAACACCAGGAAACATGAACACAATTCGATCAGAAAAAAACTCGTACAAAATCGTTATGATCGTATTTCTTTTTTCAAACGTTATTACAAAATTATCTATCATCATAGATTGAATTATCAATCAAGCAAAGAACTAATTTGATATTATTAAAAGCTCGCTGAATAATAACATTACTTTAATAGTATTGTGCACAAATATACGTTATATTCGTAATAGCAACAGGTGACCTATCCATTTTCTTATGTGTAATAGGTATATGTAATGTGGTTTCGAAAGAGCTCATAAACCTTGGCATCCATTGTTAAAAGCCATAACAAACTTCCTTGACATGTTTGCAATGCTATCAAGATTATTTTCGCCACAGAGAATTTTCTTTCGAACTTAAAATTCTCGAACTAATACGGCTAGAGTTTGTCTCGCTCGGAAGATGTATACGTGTGTTGTTCATTTATTATAATCTAGACGTCTCCGCTGAAGTATTACATTAAATATTGAATAACCGATACCCTTGTGTTTTCATTTCTTTATAATACGATATATGTACAATGGTGCTTTATAATTGAACATTACATAAAATATTGCATAAACGATAATAAAGTATAACAAATTAATTTTTATCGTACATAGATTGAAGTTTTAAGACACTTAATACACAAATATATTAATTTATTTTATTTAAATGTTTGATTTTTAAATTCTATATAACTTTTTCTAAACATCCTAATTTATCAACATGCCTCTACTACTCGTACATACACATTAATATTTTATATATTAGAACAAAAATAAGATCTTATTTTGCAATAAAAATATTGTTTATGTCTGTGCGTTAAAAGATTTAATATTTATTAACTAATATTGACTAATATTGACATCAAGTGCTTTTATTGTTATTACAATATAACCGCTAATATAGCGAAAAGAAAAATCAATTACAAGAAAAAATCGAAATATGATAGAATTATTCTTAGAGATTTCACAACAAAATAAGGATCTCTGTTCATGTTTGTAATATATAAACTTCTTTCCAATGAAATCTATTGACAAATTATGTTAAAAATGTTAATTATTTTTAATCTAACACTTATTCTCAATTATTTGACAAAATATGGAACACATCTAATAACTGATTGGTATAAAAATCAGGTATCGCGAGGTCATCTTGTATTTTCTCAGATGCTATAATAGATTCTATCTCGGACTTTGTAGTCACGCCTGATAATACAAGTAACGTCTTGAAACCACAACGTTTTCCCAAAAGAATATCGGTCTTAAGGCTGAAATAATTAAATTACTTTATTTACAACAATTCTTGAATTCAATTAATTCAATATTTTTTAATATTTACTTATCCCCGATCATCAATGTTCTTTCAGGATTTAAGTTATATTTCTTAGTAATATATTCGCTTAGGAATGTTTCTGGTTTCCCAAGCATTATGGCAGATCTATTGCTAGCTACTTCAACAGCTTTTATAAAGCAACCACTACCTGGATAAAGATGAAAATAACGTAACACTTTGTTTGTTTTCCACATAAAGAAATAAGTAAAACATGCATACTATAATGTCACCTGGGTATTTATTTGTATTTGGAGAAGGTCTGTCTGTATCACAATTCGTTCCAATGAAATGAACATTAGGATTTGCTAAATAAGTAGTGGCTTTCAACAATTTTGGATAACTAAAATATTTATCGAAACCTATAATTACAGCACCTATATCTGGATCTGGTTTAAACTCCTTTACTAAATCCAGTTCATCTCCTTCCATAGCATCAGGCTATATAACAATATGGTATATATATTGTCTTATATTTCAATAAAGTATGAAATCAACTGTTATACCTAATGTTTGTAATAACTTACTCCGATACCACAATGTTTGATGCCTACTTCTTCTAATTCCTTACCAATTGCGGTACTTCCAATTATATAAGCTGTTTTCTTAAACTGTTTTTCTTTAAGATACACTGCTGCTAAAAATGATGTACATACTATATCATCCTAAAAAGAAGAACTTTATATAAACATAAATAAGAATATAAATATATGTAATGAAATAATAGAAACAAAGAATGTAAAATGTTTTAGTAGTAACAAAATTTTTTTTTTTGTTAACGATACTCACTGTAGTTGCTTTATAACCAAATCCTTTGCATTTTTCTACAAATTCAAGTCTCGTTCTCGTGTTATTATTTGTTATATAAAAAAATTTTTTCTTCAATTCTGTAAGTTTATTCACAGTTTCAGGTGATCCTGTTATCACGTCATTTTCTTTCCATAAAACACCTTGACACATTATTTGTTATTTTAATATTAGTAATAAAAAAAATCGGTTATTTTTAATATTACATAAATATTGTAAATTTTTTACATTAATCTTTAAATATATTACCGTCACAATCCGATAAAACAATGTCAATGGAATTTAGGAAGCTTTCCAATGTATCTTTGGATAACGATGTCAATTGTTTTGGTGACATTATGGAAACACCTATATTTCGATATTTAGATGGAATGAAATTGATTTTTGCGTAGAGACATATGACTCTTATCAGAATACTTTTACTAGAACAAACTTAAATGTTAAATTCTAATATCTAGCACTACATTGCTCGACTGCATGCCGAGCATTAACAAAATAACCTTGACTGTGGAACGTTATGTAATCATATGATATATATACTAAGATTGAGTGCAATCCATTAAAAAGCAGTTGAGTATAACTTGTGATAACTATATCATACTATCAACGAAATAATAGCTCTTAACTATCATATCCTCACTTTTGATAGATGGCAGTTTATTCTTAACTTACATAATGTTCTGATTGATTATAGCTCTATATAGTATTGTTTTGTATTGTTCGTTAAAACTGATAAACTTCAAAGATTTCTCATAATAATAAAAAATTAATATAAATATATAAAAAAGTTATACCGTGTTTAATTTGTAATAGATTACTGGTTGAACGTTTTAATATTTTTAACATTATAACTTTATTTTCTTCTTTCAAAAAAGAAAGAAATCTTTTGTTAACCCTTTGAATGCTATGGACGCACATATGCGTCCAGCGAAAACTATCGATATAGACTATGAACTCAAATACGCGCTTGGCAGATGCTATCAGTATGGACTATGGACGCAAATACGCGCCTGGCAAAAATGATCAGTGTATTATGGTCAAATGTATATGTTCGGCAAAATATATATAATTATATATATAATTATAATATATATATTTCTTAAAATATATATATTTGCAGCCCTTCCATGATTATATAATCTTTCTTATGATTTGTTTAATTTTCTGATTTTTAATGTCCAAATACATTATAATTATCAAATTACTGGGATTTCAAATTCTAGCAGATGAGTAAACAGTATATATTGAAAATAAAAATGTTTTCATTCAATGTGGAATAGACAACGGAATAGTAATTGGATTGTATACTATATTATAATGTGTCATACACCGTCGACGAGATCCATACTGCGTAAAAAAGTATTCAGTCCCCGGCAATCGTCAGCGCCAGCCGCGCGCCGTCGGTACAGACTGCATAGGCCACGATAAGCACTCAAAGAGTTAAAGTCTAGGTTAAATGGTCTATTTTTAAACTGATTGATATGAATAAAAAAAAATATAAATATTTTAATCTATAAATAAGCTAAAATTCCATTTAATGTTTTATTAGTAGAAAAAATGATGTTTATATCATAAATGATTTATATTAAAAATTGAAGTATATTAACAAATTGTATTTAAATTTTACCAGTAAATAAATTTTTTTTTATTTAGATGTAAATAATTCTATATAATATAAAAGGTCTCCTAATGCATCAATATAGTAGTCAGGAACAAGCTCTTTTTCTTCTGGCTTATCTGACTGCTTCCACTGTTCTACTTGCTGTAAATTGGTAACTCCTGTTAAGACAAGCAATGTTTTAAAACCATATCTAGTCCCAAGCAAAATATCAGTATTGCATCTGTCTCCTATCATAAGAGTCCTTGCAGGATTTACATTATATCTCTCCTTTAAAATATTAGCTATATAAGGTTCAGGTTTGCCCATTATAAGAGCTTTTCTTTCTGCACAACTTTCTATACAACGAACTAAACTTCCTGTACCTTTAATAAGAATTTAAATGATTACTTTTACATTTCATAATTAATATTTAAATATATAAACAAATTAAAAATTTAATCTTCACCAGGTACAACAATGCTTTGTGCAAGTGGAAATCTTTCATCAGTATTTGTTCCAATAAAATGTACATTTGGATCATTTAAATATGTTGCTGCTTTAACCATTTTTGAATAACTAAAATGTTCATCAAATCCTACAATTACAGCTCCAACTTCAGGATCCTTATTAAATATTGTATATGAACATGGTATGTCCGGATTGATGACATCTGGCCCTACTCCATAATGTGAAATACCAACTTTTTCTAATTCTTTTGTTATTGCTACAATTTGAGAACAATACTAGATAAAACTAACTAAACATATTTAAATAGAAAACTAAGATTTCATAGATTAATGAACTGTATATATTCAAAGATTATCAATTGATAATATGTCTTACCTTCAGAGCCAATAACATAAACTTTCTTAGAAAAACCTAATTTATGCAGATATTTAGCAGATAAGTTTGCAGTACATAAAATATTATCTTTTGAGGCTTCAAATTCCAATATTTTACATTTATCCATAAATTCTTCTAGTGTTTTTGTACTATTATTGGTAATATAAAAGACTCTATTTCCCAAAGCATGGAGCTTACTTATTACAGCGGATGCATTCTTCAAAGGTGTCATATGCATCCATAAAACACCTTCAATATTAATATATATGCAATTACAAATATAGAATTCAGTTATAAACAAATTCACTCACCATCACAATCTGTGAGGACAGTGTCGAAAGAATTGAAGAATTCAATAATCTCCTTCTTGTTCAATGTTTTAAAATTCACAGCTGCCATTTTATCTGAAAAAAAAAGTTTAGTAATTAAAATAATATAAAGAAATAAAATAACCTCAATCTTTCTCTACGATTAATACAATTTATCAATGCTACCAATTACAGTCAGCAATGCAACAACTGATAAAAATACTGGAAATAAATCGATCGAATATTATTATTTAAATAAAGTTTTCGAATATAAAATGATTATTATCTGAACTTAATTGTTATATATAATAAATCTTAAATCTTACGTATATATACATTTCTAAAGAAAAATTTTTTATAGGTTAAATATTCAGAAGATTCTGTTTTTTTTTTGCGTATCGTACGTTAACTAATATAATATCTTCTTACATTTTTTCTCGCATACGAATAACTATTTGACAAATTTGTTTTCTTATTAAATTACATCAATATTTTAATTTCTAATCTTTATTTATTTTAACCATACTTTTTGCTTCTAACTAAAAATCTTTTGAAGATACACTATTTTAAAATGAAATCTTAAAAAGTTTTATTGAATATTATCAAATATAATACAGAACGAATAATGAGAGATACAGTTGATTCACTTACAAAACGAACGAAAACATTAATTCCAATTAACGATTGAACCTGGTACTAGCAAATTTTGTAAAAATATATCGAATACTTATCTATTTAAAAAAATGTACATATTTTATTAAATGAAATTTTTTATTAAAAATTAGTGAGTACAATTAATGAGAGAAGTATCAAGGTACTGATTCAGGTTTCCTGTCAAGAATATGTTGATATAACAACGATTTATTTAAAAAGTTGTCATTTTTTATTATCACACATTATTTTCTTACTATTATATATCTCAACTTGCATCTATGCAGGAATCATCGACAATATCAGTTTCCCTTTCCAAGAGTTCCTTTTCTACTTGATGAGTAAATACTATTCCAGCCAGAGTTGTTACCATACTCTTCCTAGGTATGCCAGCATCTTTTCTTTTTTTACGTTGAGATTGTTTAGGTATTATTTTTTTCTTTATTTTACTTTCGTGTATTCGCTTATGTTCTATTAATTTTTGTTTTGATGATAATCCTGCTTTACATATATCACAAATAAATCTCTGACCTAAGTGACAAGTTTTTATGTGATTTTTCAAATTAGATTCAAACAAATACGATCTTTCACAATCTTTATATGGACAAGATATTAGAAGTCTAGATTTTTCATGAATTTTGGAATGGATTTTTAAACGAGTTTTAGTTGAAAATGCTTTCTCACATTGATCGCATTTATAATCTGCAAAAATACAAAATAGACATTAATTGTAACTAGAATAGATAACTTTATCAAAATAATTTTTCTTTTATATATACATTTTCTTATTATTATAATATAATGCATACCATTAATATGGTGTGTTTTTTTATGTTTACAAAGTAAAGCCCATTTATCAAAAACTTCAGAACATTGTACAATTTGACAAGGATAACTTTTCTGTCCTTTTTCGTGCATTGTTTCATGACGTTTCAATCGTTTTATATTTAAGTATCCCTTATTACATTTACTGCATTTGTATGAAGTCACATCAAAATGTATAGCAATATGCTGAACTAATTGATGCTTTTTACTAAATACTGCATTACACTCATTACATGTTAAAATGTTATCATTATTATGTACACGTGTATAATGACGTTTTAGATTATGATAATTACTGATCATTAGAGAACATTTGCTACATCTAAAAATAAAATTATATTATGAAATATACAAAATTTATTTTACATATATGAAATATTATGTGAAATATTATATGAAAGAGATACTTACTGTAATCTTTTCTTTGTAGGATTATGCACTTCCATATGTCTTTTCAAATGACTAGAATTAGTATAAGCTTTGATACATTCAGGATAATCACATTTATAAGGCCTCTAAAATGTATAATGAAAATTAAAATTTATTAGCTATTACGATATATACGAAACTAAAAAATGTATTTAAAAATTATTACTTCTCCTGTATGTAATCTTATATGTCTGTCTAATCGAGATTGTTTAAAATATGCTGCATTACATCCAGTATGTTTACATACATATTTTTTATCACTTTGTTCACTCTTAGTAGAAATATTTTGAATATTATCAGATTTAGTAAAGTTTAATGTTTCATCCAGAATTTTTGGTGGACTTTTTATTTTATCTTGACCCATTATATACCAGTGTAGATGTCTTTTTATAGTTTAAATACAATATCTATATAATATTCTCTGTAATTTATTAATATTATTATAAAAAAAAATATTTCACAGTACCTATATTATTTAAAGAAGTATTTTTAAGTACATAAAAACTGAGGTTAAATTTTCTGAACTAATCGAAAAGTTTAATTAAGCTTAATTTTCGCATATTCAGTTTTAAAATTATGTAAGATTTTTAATATAGAATAATCTCTTTTCTTTTTATTCATTTTTTAAAATAATAAAAAAAACAATTTTTTTATTATAACTGAAACGTTATTTATAATAGAACTAAAAGAAATATTTCAGAGAAAATGTCATATAATAAAATAAAAATAATGTTAGAATTCTAAGAATATAACAGGAAGGAATTTTAAAGAAAATAAAGCACGTCACAGTAACTCATTATAACAACGAAAGGGACCACTCGCGATCAGCTGATCGCGTTTCGTTATTTCGTTACAAATAAGACTGACGTAAGTCAACCTATCATATAAATCGGTACTTTCTTACCGATTATTAAAAATATGGGAAATAAGAAGAATTAAGAATAATTCATATCGTAAATTAATACAAAATATTAGAATTTATTTTATTTATCATTTATACTCTTCAAGAAAAGGTTAAGCTAATACGCATAAATTTGAACAATACGTGAAGGTAAGAATTTTTTAGATCAAAATACCACGAATACATTATAATTTATATTATGTTATTAATACTACATTGTACATTCAATATTACGCTAGTTATAAATTCAGTTAGACAATTACGCATACATTGTTTTGTTCCTACATTATTATATTCCTATTTTCAAGAATTATCAAAAATATTATATCATATTTCTAGATATGATATAAATACAACAAAAGTAGTGATTTAAGAAATACGATGGGGCAAACTTTATGCGAACCAGTAACAACTAAAAAGTCAGCATGTTGTAGAGATTCCAATTATCGCGTGGGTAGTTCTTGTATGCAAGGATGGCGAATTAAAATGGAAGATTGCCATGTGCATATTCTCTCTCTTCCAGATGACCCAGGCACTGCTTTTTTTGCAGTATATGATGGTCATGGAGGTAATAATATTTTTGTATTTTGCATAAGTAGCACAGAATGGATACAGGTATACATGTAGATATATGTTGTAATTCATATATTACATTTAATTTAATTTTAGTATTGGTAGAAAAATATAAGAAGCTATTTGCATTGAAAGTTAAAACTAATAGGTGCGGCGATAGCTCAACATGCCGGAAAATATCTTCATGAATATATCACCAAGCGAAGTGAGTATAAAACAGGAAATATTGTCCAGGCTATGCAACGAGGTTTCTTGGAATTGGATAAGGCAATGCAAAATGATACGGTACTTAGAGAAGAACAATCAGGAACTACTGTTATTGCACTACTTATTAAAGATAATATTTTGTATAGTGTAAGTTTCTATGATCCATGAATTATTTGTAAAATATATGATATTTAACTCTGATTTTCGTTTAATTCACACATAAATATTTTATATTTGTTCAGGCTAATGCAGGCGATAGCAGAGCAGTAGCAAGCATTAATGGAAATGCAGTCCCACTTAGTCGAGATCATAAACCTACATTGAAAGACGAACGTGATAGAATCGAGGCTGCAGGTGGTTGGGTCGAATTCAATCGCGTTAATGGTCACCTTGCTCTATCCCGTGCTCTTGGAGACTTTATGTTTAAACGTAACAATCATATGTCACCTCAGAAACAAATTGTAACAGGTAAGAAATACTTTAAATTGTTATAATAATACATATAGCATATTTGAACATTTGAAATATTTTGTTTAGCTTTTCCCGAGGTACAACAATTTCCTATAACCGAAGATTGGGAATTTGTTGTCTTAGCTTGTGATGGAATTTGGGATGTTATGACGAGCGAGGAAGTAGTAAATTTTGTAAAAACTCGTTTAGCTTGGTCAAAATTCGTAGGAACCGAAATGGAAGGTGTTATGGATCCTGAAGAAATATGCGAAGAATTAATGAATTGCTGTCTTGCACCAGATGCTTTAATGGGTACTGGTTGCGACAATATGACAGTTGTACTAGTATGCTTTCTTCATGGAAAGCCATATTCGCATCTTATTTCACGTTGTCAAAAATCTAGTACAAATTCTTAGTCATTATAGATTAGTATATTAATACTTTCTCCTTTCTCTCTCTCTCTCTTTCTTTCTCTTTTCATTTCTCCTACCGTAACGATCATATCCTCTTCTCTTAACCATCATCGTTATTACCTTACGACCAAACTTCTTTAAATCACACGTATACGTTGTAATTCAACGCCAAGTATCGATGTTACAAAGTGGGGACGAACGGGTCGAGTTTTTAAGCATGAGCACTTTTCCTTTTTGATGAAAAATTTAGAGGCCTCTGCTTTAGATATATCCATAGATCTAACCTATTAGATAATCATAAAATTTACTAATTGCTTTTATAAAAACATTATCTCTGATTTTAATGTAAATTTAATTTTTTGAAACTATGCTTTTATGTGTAAATATATATGAATTCCATTACACAATTATGGATTCTTTAGGCCACATTTTTGGAAAACAGGCCGCACAGCAGCTCAATTATAAGTTTTTATTTACAATTCTGAAGAATGGACGAGAAATATTCGAACATAATTTGAATAACAATCATGATAAAATATCGTAAGATTTTCATATTTAGAGTCCATAACGTTCTTGTATAGAAGAAACTGCTGCATTGGCAAGGGAACTAAGTCTTCCTGCAACTTTATTTACACCTTGACGTACACTTTCGCGTACATCTTCCAAATCAACTACACCACCACGTCCTTCAATAAAGCGAGCCGTTAAAGAACCAGTAGTCGGAAAAGAATTTCCAGTGCCAAAATAATCTGCTGACGATATACTGGATGAACCTTCAAAGCGGCGAAGGTTACTTTTACGTTCCCACTATGAATAAGTAAAAATTATAAATAAATCCATATTTTAATTCGAATAAAACTTTAGCAAAATAACGACTACTTTTACTTACTGAATCATCATAACTACTGTCTTGGAAGTACTGATCCGAACTAATAGCCTTGGCACTACCAAATTTCTTTTGAGCTTCTCCTTCGCCCGATGATTTATTATCGTTTTTACTATTATTTTGACGACTCAAGAGTGGTTGTCGTTTAGGTGGCTCTGGTTCTGCAATAACAACAACTTCTTCATTTTTAGTTTTGTTACTATTGTTATTAGAATATGGAATCGATAAAGCTGTATAAAATTCATCCAAGCTCATAAATAAATCACGATCAACATCCATATCTCTTGATCTAGGTTCAACAGCTGTAATAGTTTTCGATGATTCCTGAGTTATTGTCTTCATATCTCCTAAAGCTGAATGACTTGCACCACTAAAAAGAAAGTAGATAGTGTCAATCATTTATACGTTACTGCAATATTGTTGAAAATTATAAAAAATTTCATTTGACAAAATTTATAAAAATACCTGCGTGCGTTAAATCCCATTCCAAGGCGTTCTGCCTGTCCAGCCTTTAATGGATCTAACTGTTTTGTTAGTTCTTCCACTTTTTTAGCTTGCTGATTTAAATTTTGCTCATAACGATAAGCAAATCGTGTAGCAATTTCCTCTCGTTCCTCCTTTGTTCCTTCATGTCCTGCCGTTTCATTCATTTCGTTTCCTACTTCTATGACGCTTTTTTCTAATTCATCAAAATTAGTTTTTACTCTTTGTGCTCCTAAACCACCAGCTTTTTTCCCAAACTGCATATAGGTAATTTAAACGATTATCTGCATTAGAAATTATTACTGTAATACTATACTTAAGTAATATAAATATGCTTACACCAGGTCGTTTAGACTGAACTTTTCTAATACCAATAGTAGGTTTTCTTTCAGATTGTACAGATGAAACAGACTCTGAAAGTTTTACAGATGGTCCTAAAGAATTAAGAACAATCTCCGAAGATGCACTTGTGTCACTTTTTTCTATGACTTTTTTATGTATTGTAGAATTAGATACGATTTTTTCTTCTGTTGAAATGTTAGACTCGTCTAAATTTAAATCAAAATTTTCATGCTCTTGGAAGAAGTCCACATCATTGGATTCTTCTGTGTCTGGTTCCACGCTTTCCTCTAAGTGCAACTGCACATAAAATTATTATTCCAGATTATATTGATATTATAAGTATTTTGAACATCCAATCTTATAGAAGAACATGTAATACAAGCTTGTATTAAACTACTACAGTAAGCATAATTTTGATCACAAATATATGGTATGAATTTACATATATTTCAATGGAATGAATAAACATTTATAAAATGTAACATCTCAAATATATGAGTGAACCAACAATTTGAATGATGATTGAGAGATGTATGCAAAAAGACACAATATTTTTCATTAGCAATTAAAAGCAATTTCTTTTCTCTATGTTTTTTTCAAAACAGTGTTAAGCAAAGATTAGTAAAATTAAAATAGTGCTTTGTGAAAATAATTTCACAGCTCACCAGTGTTTTATTTTTTGTTGAAGGAAGAAAAACCTATAATTAGCATATTTACAATTATAACTGTTTCAATCAATAGTATACCATATGTCAACTAATAAGAAATTAAAAGATAAAAATTCTTACTTTTGTTCCATGACGTCGCATCGCTAGTGCAGACGCCAATGCTAATTTGTCCTTATATTGCATTGCAACACGAGAATTATACTTTTGTTGGGCATCTGTTGTAGTACAATTATATTGAGCAAAATATTTTCTCTACAAAGCACAGAATGAGAATATAATTCGTAGAAATATAATTTCATGATATACACAACATACAAGTAAATAAAAATAGTAGGAAGAAGATACTAACAGCATTAGCATTCCCGCCTAATTGCATGTTTCTTAATTGTAACCATGTCCAATTTGTATCAAGTTGAGTAGACCTTACGAATGTTAAATGAA